GACACTAGTTCTGGCAACCCTGATGACAAACTTCCTTCTATACCGATTAGCCATAACTTTATGACCACTGACAGGTCAAAGAGGATCTTCGATCCCCCCCAAAAAAATAAAAGTCACCAACTATAACTGCTGTATCTGCTGACTTTTAATAAAAGGACACTTATTTGTCCAGGGATCCAATGTCCTCATCCAAGCCAATTGTTCCCTGATTTCCGTCTACTGTGGGAATCTGGCTGTGACTCCTTGCGGCTTCACATCTGGCTTCCCACTGTGCATGTAGGAGTCGAGTTGGTCGTTGTGAATAGACCTGCACCCCCCTGGGATCTGTGATGTTGCTCAGAAGACTGCAGGCAAAGAGGGGGAGGAGGAGAACTTCCACTTGGATCGCCAAGGCATGGGGGGGTGGGGGGTACCTATCAAGGTATCTGCTCCCCCATAAACAGAAATATACCCAAAAGTGATAGAGCAGAATGGGAAGATGCAGAAAAATGGAACTTCCCCTTTTGGGCAAAGTTCCGCCTTAAGTGAATAACACTGATTATCTCATTACAATGGAATCTGAAAGTCATGGGATATATTAGGCAGCAAGTGAATGTGTTGTCCCTGTAGTTGATCTGTTGAAAACAGGAAAAAATGGGCATAGCAGTTTGTTGTGTATGGGGCTCCATAGCTGCAGACCAATCAGGGTCCCCACGCTGACTCGTGCCCAGCCAAAAGTGCCTACTAAGGGTATGTGAGCATCAGAAATGGACCATGGAGCAATGGAAGAAGGTGGCCTGGTGTGATGAATCAGGTTTTCTCGTACATCATTTGGATGGCTGGTTGCATGTAGGTTGTTTTCCTGGGGAAGAGATGGCACCAGGATGCACTATGGGAAGAAGTCAAGCCGGCGGAGGCAGTGTGATGCTTTGGACAATGTTTTGCTGGGAAACCTTGAGTCTCCTGCCATTCATGTGGATGTTACATGACAGGTACAACCTACCTAAACATTGCTGCTGACCAAGTACACCCCTTCATGGTAAGTTGTATACCTTGCTGGCACTTGGCAGTGGCCTCTTTCAGCAGGATATTATGCCCTGCAACAATGCAAAAATCGTTCAAGAATAGTTTGAGAAACATAAGAACAAGCTTGACCTTCAAATTCTCCAGATTTCAATCCAATCAAGCATTTGTGAAATGTGCTGGAATAATAAGTCCGATCCATGGAGGCCCCACCTCACAACTTACAAGACTTTAGGATCAGCTACTGATGACTTGGTGCCAGATACCACAGCATACTTTCAGAGGTCTAATAAAGTCAATGCCTGGATGGGTCAAGGCTGCTTTGGCCACAAAAAGAGGACCTACTCAATTTAGGTGCGTGGTCACAAAGTTTTAGCTGATCGGTACATTTGTCCTGTTTGATGTTATCACCAAGAGGGAAAGTGAAAGAAAATCCCAAATTATGGGTCGTTACCAGAACATGATGACAACCAGGAATTTCCTCATTTTGGAGGGATTTCCTCACACTTCCTGTTTTGGCTAGGAAGGAAGTGAACGGAAAAGTCCCCAATTGGATACAGATGGCACAAAAAAAATTTGACAGGGGTAAACCCTCAGTTACCCTATCCAAAATGAAAAAGAAGTGTTGCCTGTAGTTCTTCCATACATATAAAAAAGCATCTGCACATTTTTCTCTTTATCCCCCTGCAAAGTCCTACCAGTCCTGCCAGTGAAGTCTACCTAATGCAGCTTCCTGTGATAATGTGACAATAATGTAAGCAGCACTGTCACACTCATGTAGGCTGTCCCTGCTTGCACTAGAGAGGGAACAGAAGACATTACATGTGGTGTGGCTAACAGTATTTTTATTGCTGATTTGCAAGCCTGTACCATGTAAATCAGAAACTGACCACACTTAGTTCCACCCACTGCCTTCTGAATTGACAGCACTGCCTCTGTTACTGAAACATTCCTATTGTGAGCTGCAGTGCCTGGGAGGGAGAGAGTGTGTGAGACACTATTGAAGGAGGATTTGGCTCAGACAGGAAAGGTAATTGACGTTTTTTGTTCACTTTATGATGCTTATGTATCTCATAGTAAATGGATTTGGTACTTGTTTAGACTGTCATATAGCAGACTTTATTTGTACTTTAAGGCCAGATTCACACTGCACAGGGTGGTTGCGGGTGCAGGAATTGCAGATGTTTCCGCACCTGCAACCACCCACAGCTGAAACATACTTCTCTGTACAGATGCTTGGGGCTGCCATTCTTAATGGCACTCCTATGCATCTCAACCCGCAGCGTGTTTGCGGATGCAAGAATCACAGGGAAATCACATGGTGCAAAAGAACCACTCGATCTCCCCGTGGCCTGCGTTTTTAAAATGGTGCAAGCATCTTTCTTTGTGGGAAATGCAGGCACAGCAGCCCATTCAAACTTGGTGTAACACAAGTGTGAACGTAGGATAAAGGATGAATGTATCAGTGAATATGGACTGTAACAGCCTCAAAATGAATCAGCAAATGTATGGTGAATCTTGGGTGAATCTAGCATTCAACACTTTACAAACAGAGTTTACTACACACCCTCTGTGTCCTTGATTTGCATGTTTTCAAGATGTGCTTCTCTGGTTTCATGAATTTGTTTTTAGAAAAAAAATGAAATGAGAAAATGATTAGAGTAATGAAAATACCTGGTATTGACCGAGATATAATACCTACGTCACATACAATATCAGCATATTTTCCAGTGAAAGTGTAATCCCTCCAATACTTAGATTTCAGTATAAAGTCGACGCCAGAAGCAGTAATCACCGGCTGGGCTTTTTATGTTTTTTCTAGCTTTGTGTGATTTTGCCGCTGAAGCGCCGCCAACTGTAACGGCCATTATGTAGGTTTCTCACGCTTATTTCTCGATTTTCTATACTCCGTCACAGCGGCTGGTTCTCCGTCTTTTGTTCCTGGATATTTTTGTCACTGAAAATGTCTATATTACTATCTGTTCATCGGGGGAATTTGTTGCTTCTCCCTTTTTCATGTCAGTATTTGTTTGGCAACAGCTTTTAGCCATCCTTTATTGAAATGCAGTACACTTATAAAGAGGCGTACACAGACTTTGTGAGAAAAAATTTGGCATGGTCATCTGGCACCATAACAGTGGCGGTATAGTAATATAATTATTTGTAATACAGCCTTCTTCCTTCTTCTAAGCTTGGTGAATGTGTTCACCTTTCTTGTTTTTTTTTTCTTTTTTTTTTTGCTAAAAATTTGCATTTTTTTTTTTGGAGGATTCAGCACTCCCATACAATGTGGCTTGAAATAATGTTAAATATAATTTCAAATAAAAATCCACTTGTTAGGAAAATCCTGCAGGCCAACATAGCCAGGGGCACATGCCAGGTATGTCCTTCTTAGCGCTGGTGTCAGAAGACCTATTCAGGGCTATGCCCTGTAACCAGGAGCTGCTGGATGGCCTTCTGCCTCCTTGTTACTGACCCAGACTTGCCTCATTACCTGATTAAAACTCTGTCTTCCCAATACTGACCTTATCTGCCTTACAGAAAGTCTTCGCTCTCTGCTTACCTGACTCCCTGGTATTGACCTTCACCTCAATCACGATCCTACTTGCCATCCTGTTTCTGTCTAGCTCATCTGTTGTTGATCTTGGCTTGTTCCCTTGACCATGATCCTGTGTACTGTCTTGCTCTCTACCTTCATCAATCTGTCACACACTGTTGCCCACAATCATTATAGAAAGGTACAAGGCCAACAGTGCAGCATTACAAATCCAAAACCACAAAAGATTGACGTGCAAACATATGCGGAAGCACCCTGCCTCCTCTAAGCCCCTCTGTGAAGTGTGGACCCAAATTCTAACCCATTGTAGGATGTACATAGCAAAACATTAATTGAAAGAATATGTAAGTCCAATATTTGATTTCCTGATATGTGCCTGTTGTACCATGTACTTCTATGAAAAAGTATCATGATTTCTTTATATTGCTTTTTTTGAGTGAAATCCCTGGTGTTCCTGCCAGTCCCTCTGTTTTCCTATTAAAAACTGACCACACTAGGCAGGAGATTGCAGCACGATCAGTTCTCTAGCTGTGCTTGGAACTTAGTCTGCTCTTCTCCAAAGATCAGACTTGTCCTGACACACCTCTCCCTGCACAGCCTTTCACTGGGAAGACCAGTGTTCTGCTATTTCTTCTCCCCTAGCTCTTATGTAGCTGGGAACAGAGAGTATGTAATCATTTTTGTTTTTTAAAAAAAGGGAAAACAGTGTTTATAATGTTTTTTTATATCTATACACAAATGTTTTGCCTTCCCATTTTTTAAACTGAATGGGTTGTTTTACAAGGTGAGGGTTTACAATCACTTTAAGACTGATGTGAATGTACAATATATATGTAAAGCGCTGCATAAATTGTCGGTGCTATAAAAGTACCTGAAATAAATAATAATAAGACAGAGACACACCAGCAGCAGCTGAAGAAGCCATCTAGTGCGTCTATGCAATCGGAGATTGGCTTTCCAAGTATGTTCCTGACCTCCCAGCTACTGACCCAGGCCTGTACTTACTATGTCTTTATTCATCACTGCTGTCAAGACTGCAGACTCTAAACTGCACTGACATTCCCACACAGTAATCCCCTATGTGGTGTCTCAACTTCTCTCCAGTATGGAACCATAACCAGCAGCAAAAAGCATCTGTAAAATCTCAGATCATTGAATCGAGATATCACTGTAACATCAAATCCTTCAGTCCCTTTTCACGCATACATCTGCGTTATACAGCACTGGAAGAATGCAGGTCCACGCATGGACACATAAAAAAAAACAATTGTTTTCTGTGACCTGTTCACACCATATTGCTGGTGTCATGTGCAGTGCAGTGATTTCGATAATATTCTACATGTATGCAACATATATAAATGCGTGTAAATGCGCATCAATGCAACACAAATCTGTTGACAGAACAGAAATGCATTTTATTTCATTTTCCCTTACAAGGATCCATACAGCAAACATCTTCAAGGGAAAGTAGAAAGTGTGCAGTGGAAAGCTGGCTAGTGAGGTTCATCAGTGACAGGGTTATGTAGAAACAGACAAGTTAGACATCATATACATTGTATAATGAGCTCTTTAGGGCTTGTTCACATGGGCTAAATTTCTAACTCTTACTAAATGCTCCTATAGCTTTAGTATAGGCTTTAGACAGGAGTTAATGGGAGTTTAGACAGGCGTTAATGAGCTTTAGTATGGGAGTTAGACAGGCGTTAATGAGCTTTAGTATGGGCATTAGACAGGCGTTAATGAGCTTTGTGTATGGGGCAGTTAGACAGGCGTTAATGAGCTTTGTATGGGCATTAGCGTTTTTAATGAGCTTTAGTATGGGAGTTAGACAGGCGTTAATGAGCTTTAGTATGGGCATTAGACAGGCGTTAATGAGCTTTAGGCTACGTTCACACTAGCCTTGTGTGCAGGCGGCAGAGAGGGCGTTTGGGAAGCGTTTTTACCGCTTCCCAAACGCCTCTGCCAATTCTGCACATTACAGCACATGGTGCTGTTCTAACAGGAGCATTTGCGTCGCATCGCGTTGCGTCGCGGCAAAACGGACGCCTCTGGTCGAGTCAGGAGGCTTTGAAGCCTCCTATTCTCGTCTATGGTGCCACTCCGCAAACGCCCGGCCGGCGTTTGCGGTGCGGTTGCGACGCGGTTGCGGGGTGTTTGCGGAGCGGTAACACCACTCAAATGCATTATAGGCGTTTGTGGGGCGTTATTAACGCTTGGCAAACTCCTAGCAACCGCCGCTAAACCGCGCATGCGGCGTTTGCGGAGCGTTAAAAAACGCTCCGCAAACACCGGACCAATGCTTGCCAAACGCTATAGGGGCGTTTGGCAAGCGTTGGCAAAACAGCCAAGTGGGAACGAGCCCTAAGACAGGCGTTAATGAGCTTTAGTATGAGCCTAAGGCTACGTTCACACTAGCCTTGTGTGCAGGCGGCAGAGAGGCGTTTGGGAAGCGTTTTTACCGCTTCCCAAATGCCTCTGCCAATTCTGCACATTACAGCACATGGTGCTGTTCTAACGGGAGCGTTTGCGTCGCGTCGCGGCAAAACGGACGTCTCTGGTCGAGTCAGGAGGCTTTGAAGCCTCCTATTCTCGTCTATGGTGCCGCTCCGCAAACGCCCAGTCGGCGTTTGCGGTGCGGTTGCGACGCGGTTGCGGGGCGTTTGCGGAGCGATAACACCACTCAAACTGTATTATAGGCATTTGTGGGGCGTTATTAACGCTCGGCAAATGCCTAGCAACCGCCACTAAACCGCGCATGCGGCGTTTGCGGAGCGTTTGCCGAGCGTTAAAAAAACGCTCCGCAAACGCCGGACCAACGCTTGCCAAACGCTATAGGGGCGTTTGGCAAGCGTTGGTAAAACAGCCAAGTGTGAACGAGCCCTTAGACAGGCGTTAATGAGCTTTAGTATGGGCCTTAGACAGGTATCAATGAGCTTTAGTATGGGAGTTAGACAGGCGTTAATGGGCGTTAGAAAGGCATTAATGAGCTTTAGTATGGGAGTTAGACAGGCGTTAATGGGCGTTAGACAGGCGTTAATGAGCTTTAGTATGGGCGTTAGACAGGCAATAATGAGCTTTAGTATGGGCTTTAGACAGGCGTTAATGAGCTTTAGTATGGGCGTTAGACAGGCATTAATGAGCTATAGTATGGGCCTTAGACAGGCATTAATGAGCTATAGTATAGGCATTAGACAGGCATTAATGAGCTTTAGTATGGGTGTTAGACAGGCATTAATGAGCTATAGTATGGGCCTTAGACAGGCATTAATGAGCTATAGTATGGGCATTAGACAGGCATTAATGAGCTTTAGTATGAGCCTTAGACAGGCGTTAATGAGCTTTAGTATGGGCCTTAGACAGGTATCAATGAGCTTTAGTATGGGAGTTAGACAGGTGTTAATGGGCGTTAGAAAGGCATTAATGAGCTTTAGTATGAGCCTTAGACAGCCGTTAATGAGCTTTAGTATGGGCCTTAGACAGGTATCAATGAGCTTTAGTATGGGAGTTAGACAGGCGTTAATGGGCGTTAGAAAGGCATTAATGAGCTTTAGTATGGGAGTTAGACAGGCGTAAATGGGTATGGGCCTTAGACAGGCATTAATGAGCTTTAGTATGGGCGTTCGACAGGCGTTTATGAGCTTTAGTATAGGCGTTAGACAGGCTTTAATGAGCTATAGTAATGGGCCTTGGACAGGCATTAATGAGCTATAGTATGGGCGTTAGACAGGCATTAATGAGCTTTAGTATGGGCATTAGACAGGCATTAATGAGCTATAGTATGGGCATTAGACAGGCATTAATGAGCTATAGTATGGGCCTTAGACAGGCATTAATGAGCTTTAGTATGGGCATTAGACAGGCATTAATGAGCTATAGTATGGGCATTAGACAGGCATTAATGAGCTATAGTATGGGCCTTAAAAGTCAGCAGCTACAAAAACAGCCACTTACCTGTCCCTCGGTCCCGCGTTGTGTCCTCCGCAGCTCGTTTCACCAGCTGTCCTGGGTTCCAGGAGGCCAGCATCTTCAGTGTGGGCACATGGCTGTGACAGCATGCGGCTTCACAGCCGGGTACCCACTGCGCATGCACGAGTAGCGCTGCACTTCATGAATGGTCCTGCAGTCCTCTGGGACCTGTCACATGTCCCAAAAGACTACAGGGAGGGAGGGAGGACACCTTCCATTTCCGAGCGCCGCAGCGATTGGACCAGAAGTGGGAGCGGCACCTGTCAAATTCGGGTACCCGCTCCCCAATCCTTAAAGGGGAGCGGGGGAGCAGTCCTTAAAGTGGTACTTCCCCTTTTGGGTGGAGCTCTGCTTTAACATGCATAAAAAATACATGTCAACACCAGGGGCGGACTGACCATTTGGGAACTCGGGCACTGCCCGAGGGCCCGAGGTCAGTAGGGGGCCCCATGAGATGCCCCGGTACCTTTCTCATAGGCTTTTTTGAGTTTGGGCAAGGACACAGGGGCCCATGATCCCCTATTGCCCGGGGGCCCCATGAGTTGTCAGTCCACCCCTGGTCAACACATGTCAATGGAAGGCATTGCACATCCATTTCTCAAGCATTTTTATGTGTGAACAGGCCCTCTCTTGGCACCCATGTGACCTTCAAACTCCCTGTCACTCATTCCAGGGGTGTTTGAAGAAGAGGTACAAGGGATGCCCCCTTGTCATTTTTGTCTCCCATCAGGATGTGATACTACTTTGTTCATCAAAGCATCCAAAGACATGCAGCTGCCCACAATGACAAATGAAAACCTCTGTGCTATAAGACTGAGAAACTATAATCAGATTGGAACATAATGTAACATAAATGCTACAGCAAAGTAAAAAAAGCTCCATTTCTTTTTTTTCTCTTGCATCATGAAGGACCGGCTCAGCCAGCCTGCTTCTTCAAAGCTGTACTCTGCAAAGGCCGATCAGCACCAAGGACAGCGCAGCTCTCATTCCTGTCACATTCCATCAGTGTGACGCCTGCAGCTGATGTACCCCCATCACACAGACTCTCAGATTTCCCAGAATCCTCTTCTTTCAGAGCAAACTCCGCGTACGCCTGCATTACAAAGACGCTGCAGGAGGGAAGCCTGCTCTGTGGTTGCTAAAGGGCAGCACACGACTGTAATGCATTAGCGGGCTTATCTCACTTAAAGCGCTGCAGTCCAAATGAGAATCTGTTGACTGCAGCAAAGGAAGAGTTTCATCAAATATATATTATTGTTATTATACAGGATTTATATAGCGCCAACAGTTTGCTCAGCGCTTTACAATATAAAGGGAGACAATACAGCAAAAATACAAGAGGGTTAGGAGGGCCTGATCCTCGGAGCTTACAATCTAAGAGGGAGGGGCTGGTGGTACAAAAGGTAATAATTGCGGTGGATGAACTGATAAGAGGAATAGAAAATTCCATTATTAGGCTTCCCTGATGAGATAGGTTTTCAGAGATCGCCTAAAAGTGGGCGATAGTCGGATAGGTTGGGGTAGAGAGTTCCAGAGGATGGGGGAGGCTCTTGAGAAGTCGTGGAGATGAGCATGGGAGGAGGAGACAAGGGAGCTAAAGAGCAGGAAGTCGTGCGAGGAGCGGAGAGGACAGTTTGGGTGATACTTGGAGACCAAATTGGTGATGTAAAAAGAAAAATAATAATAATTATAATAATAATCTGTGTATTATTTTTCTTTGCCTGGATACCATGCTGATCTGCTGGCTTCAATTCAAGTCAGAACTGTGTATTTGACTACTTATTCCCAGGTCAGTGAGTTAGAAAATACATTTGTAGAAGGAAAGTCCATCATTATAGTTTCTTTTAACAACTGTATTTTCTCTTTACTTTAAAACTGAAATTGCTTAAATACATTCCTCAAGAGGATATAAATCCGATTTTTTTTATACCAAATGCCTTTGCAAACCCAGTTATTACCATATAAAAGTAGCAGTGACATCATTACAGTGTTGTACATAGCCTGTGCAGAAAGCAGAGCTGTGGGAGGGACCCAGCAGACCCCACCCACTACAAGCTGCCTGCAGAAAACTACAGGAGGGGGAGGAGACAAGACCAGTCACCCTGCACAGGTAGAGAGAACAGCAGTTACTGTTCTGTATTTCAGGAAGTTCCTGCACAGAGACAACTTTTCATACTAGATTATAACACAGATCTGGTAGACATACACAAAACACAGGGCCAAGAGCCAAATAAGAATATACAGTACATGACTCGTACTTAGACATTATTTGCTTATTCTGGAGTTTATCTCAAACAGATGAAGTCTTACAGCATATCTAAACCCACAAGCAAAATTTTAATATAGCTGCATTCATTTTCTTTTTTTCTTATGCTTTTTTTCTCTTTTATTTTCACCTGGCAATCCGGCCAGTAAGTTTATTTTTCAACTTTTTACCAAAACCAAGCTGTCCAGCAAAAGTGTCAGTTAGAGAGTGGAGACAAACCAGTTAACACTGACTGCTTCCAATGGTCAATTTTTTTAAATTTATTTATGAGAAACCTTTATCCAAAAATGACTGAATGCTGCGGAAACTGCTTAAAAATTATTAGACGGAGTTTGGGCTTTATTTTGTTAGTCAAGTAAATCTGCCTGCAATCTAAAACTGGTCAAAAACTGATCAAAATTAATTTTGATCAAAGTGTAGGCTGCCCAACAGAAATTGATTTTTTAATCTACTTCTTTCGAGCTGACCTACTGGAAATTTTTTTCTCAATCTGTGGCTGCAGCCAATCAGCTGCAGCAGCTGATCAGTGTATTCTGACAGCAGCAGGGTCAGCATACAATGTTCCAGCCGGGAGGAATTCCTCCACCCACATTGTTTGTATGGATGGAGGAATCTATTCGCTTTTTTTTTCATTCAGCCCACCAGCTTTAAGGAAAAAAAAAAATATGTA